AGTGGACAGTTTGACATTCAACATGTTGTTCGGATCCACACAGGCGCCTTCTTGGGTCTTATCCGGTTTTCCTGTGTTTCTCAGCGATCTTTTGAGTTTTTCTCTTCGAAACCGTTTACCGACAGCATGACTGTTTTAACGCCACCATTGCTCCCCCAATTGACTGTCCTGCACCTGCTTTCCCATTTTCAGCTTGCTCAAATCAACAACCGGTGCTCCACGCCCACGATCCAGTGATACTTCGCCCAGCCACCATGGACGCGCAGTGGCAGCAATATTACTGGAATCATTATTTGATGCAGCAACATCATCAGCAGCTCACCAACCCAGATACCACAACTTCTCCTCCCACCGCCGCACACCACACCTACAGCCCCACAGGCACCTACGGCCCACTCACTCACGCACTTCGCACACACCACGTCCACCACTCCAACCCTTATGTGACTCCACCGTACACACCGCCATCGCAGCACACACCCCCACCCCAGGCACCCACCTCCCAGCCGGAGTTTCCACCTCCGCCGCCGCCACCCCTGCCCACGGCCGAACCTGTCACTCCACCACCATCGACCTTCCAACACAGCCCACCGCCACCACCCACCACACGTGGCACCACAGCGCCTGCCCCACCACCCCCACACATCCCATCTCCCACACCACCCGTTCCGGACTCCTGGAACCCAACCGAGCAACATTGGGACTCCAACACCCTGCACGGTCACCAACTACATCGCACGATTCAACCCACCCAGTGGTCTCGCAAAGCAGGAGTGGCCGGCCTCCCCACCTTTGAGGTCTTCCCGTGGCAATTGGCTTACCACGGTACCTCCGAGTTCACTGCCCGTACCCTGAGCAACGGCAAATTCACAGGTTTCATTGCAACCAGAAGCATAGCGGAGTCGGTCTTCGTGACCCTTTTTCTCCAACAACTCCGCGAGAACCGCCTTGACCTTGACGGCATCGCGGAGGCTCTCCACACACAACAGAGCACAGACGTTCCAAACAAAACTACCCATGCCCGAGCGTTCCACGCTCCCCTCATCAAACTGCTTATCGACCAACTGCAAACCCACTCCCCAGCACCTGCGGAAGGCTCCACCCTACGCGCCCTCAAAAACACCAACGACGAACTGGCTCGGGCACGCCAGAAACTCCACGACCTCGGCAACCCGCTCACACCAGTCAAGAACACCGGCCGATCCTCTGCACCAGCCGCCCCTTCCCACGCACCCACACCACCACCACCAAAACCACCAGCCATCACCGACGTCTTGCAACCACCTCACCCCACCCTGCAAGACGACATCCCCGAAGGCTGGAACTACCCAGATATCCAACAATGGGTCACTACTTTTGACCCCACCATCCAAGAAGCTGCGAAAGAAGTCATCCGACTGCTGCAAACAAGCAAAGTTACCACGCAGCAGCTAAAAGAAGCAGCCACCAAGTATGGCCTACCCCTCAACCGAGTCAACCGACTCCCCATTCGCAGCCTACAACAGCTGGTGGGAGTCGGAGCAGCCATTGGTTGCTGACTCGCCATCGTGGCCCAGCAGCAACCCAGCCACACCAACCTCACCCAACTTTTCCACCTACACCGCGCACTTTCCATGCTCATCCACCGCACCCAATACATCGACCGCGCCGAGGCCATCTTTGCAACCGGCCTCATCCACATCACACTTCTTTTTGCATACCCGTCCAACACCCGTCGCTCACAACAATGGCGCAACCGCCTCCGCCAGCTCCACATTTTACCCCACACCTACCACTACCACAACTTCCTCTCTTCCAATTCCGTCTACATCAAGCTCCACTTCAACCCCGACCAACCCCAACGCTGCTACCATCAACATGGCCATTTCTATGTTGGCTCCACAGCTATCGGCATCCCCCACCGCGAGCACAATCGCCGAGCCAAACTCAAACAACTCCAGAACAACATTCCCATCTCTGCAGAACTCTCCCTACGTTATTGGCATTCACACAACAACATCCACCACTACACCACTATTCAACTCACCTCCCATGACACATACGACCAAGCCTGGATCCAAGAGCACCACTACATCGCCAACTGGATGCCTTCGCTCAACTGGCCTTTCATTTCCCACCACCTCAAACTCAAAGCTCAGGGATGGCAGTTTGCAAAACACAGAGCCCACTTCTACTCCAGACTAGCCACCCACAAACGACTTTTCCGACGCCTTCGACAACGCCAGTACACCCTCAGAGAACCACACCTCTACACTTCCACTAAGCATCACGCCCTCCAACTTCTTCGCAACCTTACCAAACACACCGCAGCCTCTTTTGAGGCAGCAAAACAGATAAGAAGCGGCCGCCACACGGACCTCGAGGTGTATGCAATCCGGCGTATGGCCGCAAATTTGGAAGAACCTGGCCGCAGCCGAGCTCTTCACATCCTCAACAAAGCCTTGATCTACCGCAACCTCACGCCACCTAAGCCAAACATCCCGCTGACAGTGCCCTTCTTGGCCCATGACGGCTTCACCAAGCACTGCCAACAATGGCTGCGTACCACCATCCAGCAGCACAAGCATTTCACCATTCCCCTCCACCTCCCCTCCCACAGACTGAGGGAAGCCGCCCACAAAACCCTCCGCTCCCACCTCCACAACCACCGCACATGGGAGGACACCCTCCACTCCCCGCCAGATCCAGCCGACCTCCCCTGTGCATGCGATCACCTTCGCACACTCCTGCAGGATCCCGATACCCCTACCATCAATGGCCACTACATCCTTACACTTGACCAACTCCAACTCCCTACACACCTCAGCATTTTCCTCAACGCCAATATGAACAGCACCTATTACCCAAGCAAAGCTCGTTACTTCCTCATCTTCACGACGGCCTACACCAAATGGCTCAAACTACAGGGGCTTCCACCTTCCCTAGCTCAACACCTACCGCCTTTCCTTGAACACCAATGGCGCCTTCACAACACACACCTCAAGCAGCAACCCCGTTTTACGGCCCGCCTGCTCCGTCAACTCCAAGAACATTTGGGAAAACACACATTACTCCACCATGCCGACCATGAGCTCCAACAACTCCGGCTGTTTTGCCCTCGCCAATATTTCACTGGCGCCTTGAACACCTGGCAATCCCCCGAACTTTTCGAACCACTTCCCTACATCACTGCCGTCAATATCCACGATCACCTGGCCGCCACTGTCCCCCCCATTTTGCGCACACGCTACAAGTGGGGCTTCCGAAAAGACTTCAACATTCCATACGGAGTTGTCCACCTCAAGGAGAAGAAGCACTGGCAAAAAGGCCGTACAATTATTTCATACTTCCAATCACTCAGTGGCAACTTGCTTCGCATCACCAGCCGTGCCCTTGACATCATCCTCCAACACCTCTACCCTCAACATCCCGGCCAAATGTCCATTCCCCAGCTTTGGCACCACTTTCACAGCTACCTTACCCAAACACCACCAGACATCTCACTACACGCCACCAACGATGACCTGGTCGGCTTCTTCAACTCAGTCCCACAGCACCGACTCATCGATGCAGTTCACTCCCTCGTCCACCACTGGCAACAACAGCAACCCACACACACCTTGACGGTGGATGTCCAGGCCACCGGCAATCCTTTCCACCACTCACACATTGGCAGACACCATCGGAAACACCCTACCCAACGCACCATCCAAACGTCCGACATTACCACCATCGTGGCTTTTGCCCTCAACACATGCATTTTCCGGGCTTGCAACAATACTTACAAACAAATTCGAGGGGCCGGGATTGGATCCCAGCTCTCTCCAGCCCTATGCAACGTTGCCATCACCCTCATCGAGCACTCCTGGCATCAGATCCACAACAACCTCCTTCAACACACAGACCTCCACTTTACTTACTATCGATATGTCGACAACCGCTTCATTGTCCACAACGAACATTTCCTTCAACACCCGGCTATCCAAACCCTCATCCACCACAATTTCTTTGGCGACCCAGTTGAACTCGAACCGGTGGAGGATTTTCATCTCCTCGGTTTCAACATCGACCTCCCACAACGCACCATCACCTACATGCAACCTTCCCAACCCTGGAAAATCCGGGACTCCACAACCGCCGGGAGCCAGCGCTTGGCTCTATCAGGCCTCCAATCAAGACTCCACACCATTCGAAAATACACATTCCCACCCTCCAGCGCTGACCTTGCTGCGGCTGAACAAGAACTCGTCAACCTATATGTCCAAAAGGGGCATAACTACCACGCCTGCCACCGGTTTTTGAAAAAAGCGCCGAATGCGGCGACCTGTGTGTGTCCCACCCTGGACAAAGGGTCTCACCCCACCACTTTCACACAGGCAGGGGATGGAGACACCTGTATTGCTTCTCCATCAACGAAGCTGGCAATACATGGTGAGGATATCAGTTCCGGACGCGGAACTGACGTACCTGCTTTGAACACACCGACTCCAATGATCCACCCTGCTGCTGTTCGTTGGTTCCATGGTTGTTCTCATGATAGACCCCAAAACCTTTTCCGCAGACTTGCCGCTTTGCCGCCGTGCGCTTTCCGCAGTCACGTAGGAAAACCTTCTTGTTGAAACATCTACAATTGCGCTGACTTTCCACCTTACCGTTGAGCCATTCCTTTCCTCGGGAGATTGCATTAACTGAAAATCCAAGTTCGAAGTGTGTGTTTGTGGTTGTGTGTTGTGTGTATGTTTGTGGTTGTGTGTTTGTGATTGTGTCTTTGTAGTTGTGTTTGTAGTTGTGTGTTTGTGATTGTGTTTGTAGTTGCGTGTTTGTGCTTGTATTTGTGATTGTGTTTGTGATGTGTTTGTGGTTGTGTGTTTGTGGTTGTGTGGTTGTGGTTGTGTGTTTGTGGTTTTGTGTTTGTGGTTTTGTGTTTGTGATTGTGTGTTTGTAGTTGTGTTTGTAGTTGTGTTTGTAGTTGTGTGTTTGTGATTGTGGGTTTGTGATTGTGTTTGTGTTTGTGGTTGTGTGTTTGTGGTTGCGCGTTTGTGGTCGTGTGTTTGTGATTGTGTGTTTGTGGGTTTTATCTGGCAAACTATCTGGTTGAGGTCCAGCGGTGCACACTGCGATCGGATCCTTGCGGTTGAGGTCCAGCGGTGCACACTGCGATCGGATCCTTGCGGTTGAGGTCCAGGCGTGCACACTGCGATCGGATCCTTGCGGTTGAGGTCCAGGGATGCACACTGCGATCGGATCCTTGCGGTTGAGGTCCAGGGGTGCACACTGCGAGGGGATCCTTGCGGTTGAGGTCCAGGGGTGCACACTGCGATCTGGAGCTGGCCAGACAAGATCGGCGAAGCAGATTGGCGATGAAGATTGGCGAGGAAGGAAGCAAGGAGAAAGGAGGAAGGAGGAGGACGAGGAGGCGGCGGAGGCGGAGGCGGAGGAAGAACAACTGTGATAAAATCTAACAACCCTCACCTGGCAGGTGGGGAAAAAACAACAACATCGTCGCCAAGCTCTTGATTATCAGCCTTTGCTGGGTCCCAAATCCTGGCATCTGCCTGGTTTCTGAGAATGCCATCTGTACACGACATGTACACCTCTCAGAGTAAATCGAGCAATCACCCTATTAAGGGTGTGAAATTCAATTCAATGGAGCAAAGCTTGCATTGATCCCGCTTGTCACACTTCGGCTGCGAAGCGATGCCAACCACCGCACTTCGTTGCAGAGTGACTCCGGATCAACGATCCCCTGCACCCCCTGCACCAGCCCTTGCTGGCAGACGGCAAAACCGATGCACGCATCACTAGCTCGCGGTGCTTGGTGCCGGGGTCTGTGCACCCCGCAGCCTCACAAAAATGAATGTGTCAATGTTTGTCCACCAAACATCTGCACAAGAAGTCAATGTTCACAATCATCAGAAAACCCGAAAAGCTGTGAAGCGTCATCGACTCCAGTTTTGCTTCGGGGCATGCCCGCAAAAACATCCAGCGGAGACTTGGGTTTTTCAGATTGTCCTTGCTCGAACGCATGCGCAAAGGTGCTCACAGGGTTGAAGCTCCTCAGCCGAATCACTCTGCAAAGGACCAACTCACCTGTCTCCACCATGCCGAGTGTCGACTGGGAGCTCTCCTGCTTTTTTAGCATCTTACCTCAACTTTTCGCTCACTTCAGCTAGGTGCCACAAAGGGGACATGGAACAAACAGGATGGCCCACTTCCCTGAAAAGCAGGAGCAGGGTCTGACAGATCTTGCTCCAAGCTGCTGACGGCCTTCTCCCCACTTCCTCGGTGCGGTATGCTCAGTCAGATTTCGAGAAGTCCTGAGGCACGTGATGTGCTGCAGCCATGCTGCTGATCATTGTGGAGACGTCCTTCATGGCTGAGCTAGCAGCATCATTTAAGTCCTCATACACATGGTAGAACACCCAGGAAATCTGGGATCTGCACAACTCAAGTATTGAGCACCATGGCATTGACACGCTGACCACAGCCAGTCCAAGATAGCCGAGAAGCTGTCCCTGCAGCAGTTCCAGGGGCTGCTCCTGTGAGGGCATCTATCTTCCGGGTTCTACACTGGTGCAGTTGATTCTGCAAACTGTGTTGGGCCCATTTGTGGAAGAAGAACTGTCCTGGTGCAGGCTGTTCCGGCTTCTCATTCTCTAAGGCCTCGCCTTGGTACCAAAAACGGACGGAAGGCACGTGACAACTTCTCATCTTCATGACATGTCACATCAGGTCACAGCACCAACAACTGCAGCTCAAAAACCCATGGCTGCAAGGACGGTGCTTACATTGCTCCCCACGTCCCTCTCACCTTCGCAGCTCCGCAGGGAGACCAAATCCAACTCCCGGCTGAAAGAAAAGGATTGACTAACCAGAACAAGAACATGAACGGGTAGAAAGTAATAAGACCGGGGGGGTAGGCCGCTAGTAGAGGTTAGTCGAGGTAGCTAGGTAGCTAGTAAAAGAGGGAGCTAGTACTAGTACCTACAAGTAAGCTACTAGTATGGACGCCGGATAGCTCACGCTTCTTCAAGGAAGCTCCCCCCCCGCCCTAAAGGCGGCGGGGAAGCTTCCTTGAAGAAGGGCTCGCACTAATGTATGATTTGGTTTCTAGATTTTAGGGAAACTTAACATTAGAACTACTACTTGTACGGGGAGAAAGTACGGCCTGGAGAAATTACACAGTCACACGGAATCCAAAAGTGGAGGAAGAGAACGGGGCAGCGCAAATCTCCCAGCGTTTTGAGCAAAATTCCCGTGACTGTCATTCTGGGAAGGCCCGCCCAACACAAACTCCTCTCACCTCGGCTGAGGACTTTGGAGAAGTTGCCCACAACAGAGGCAAAGTTTCCAGCAGCCGCTTTGGCGTTTTGATTCACAAACTTCTGCACTTCCTGCAGCGCACATCACCCATGGTCCTGGATTTTGGTCTGTTTACTTGCAGGATTGCCCTTTCACAGTTTTGACAGGCAAGGCACTTTCTTGGTGGCATCTGTTGGGTGGTCCAATCCCAGTACTTGGTCCAAAGCCTGCACTCTGCAAAGAATCCAGCACAAGATTCGCGCAGTTTCGGCCACACTCGAGAAAGGAGTGGAAGTATCTCAACTGCTTTAATTAACCATTTAGGTCCACCGTCCACCGTCCTCGCCTTGATAAGCTGAGGCTCAGAACTCTCCACTGTGTTGGCCACGCCTGGCAAAAATCATCAAAAATCGCCTCAGAAGATAGTTCCACGCACTACCCGACCAAAACCCATCAAACCTGGACAGCCCCGCCTTGGCCCAGCGCCGCTGTGCCTCGACTCAATCTACCCATCTGGGTGCCAATTTGGGCACTTGCAGCCTGAAGTCCACCTCCCAAGTCCTTAGACAGCGGATGATTCGAGCCTGACCGGAGCCCAAAACCTGGGACCTGGCCGTGATATTGATAGAAACTTACTCATATGAGAAGACCGACCTGCTTCCTCAATGGGAGGACCTAATGTGGATTTCTTCTCTTACAGGAAGCCTTTCCGTCCTTTGCCGCAGCACAGCAGTCATGAAGACCATTTGGGCCATTGCCTCACAGAAAGCCTTCAGTCGTTGTCACTGGGCGAGTCAAGGCATAGATCAGGAGACGGACCTCAGATTCGGAAGAAATAACCCACATATGCCCGAATTGTACTCACTACATTCTCACAAATGTGGGAACTAATTCAGTTGCCTAACACAAGCCAAGCATCTCCTTGAAAACAGCTCCATGGCAGCTTTGGGCTCCTCGGCCGGCTGCGGCGGTGCCTCCTGGGCCAGCTCTGGCAGTGCTACCTCGGCTTCAGCCACTTCAGCTTCCCCACTCGCATTTCTGGGTGTGAAGAACTCCTCCGCTGTCGGAGCAGGTGCTGTTAGAACCGCCGTCTCGACCACCTCTGGAGCCTCCGCAGGAACCGTCTCGACCACTTCGGGCATCTCTGGAGGCACCTCCAGTGACGCCTCCTTGGTTGACGCAGAAGTCCGACCCGCTTCTTCCCGCTTCAGGGTGCTTGACGGCGAGTCCGTCGGCCCATCTGGCTCGCATTCCATGAACACGACTTCTTGGTCTGCCACTGGCTCTGTCACTGGCTGATCCACTTCCATCTTATGATCCTTTGTACTTGGCATTCCTCCTTCTCGATGCTGTTTGGTGCCAACCGGGCCAACATTTGGAGCCTCAGCATCCTCACACAACCGCTCTGAAGCAGGAGTTGCAATGCTATGTGCGTGTGACGGGCTGGCAGCGCCAACCTCAGGCCACACTATTCCAACTCCTTCGCTCACCTTTTGGGATCCAAAACGGTCAAATCGAAGGCTGTCGGACATTTCTCGCAACCGCAGTCGAATGCAATCCGTCGAGTCCGAGTCAGTCCCGGGCGCATGCCGCTCAAATGCATCCTGCAGAACGCTAACCAAGGCAGCAAAGGCATGAGTTAAACTCGGGGCGAGTCGTACTGCACCCTGCCTGGGTTGGTGCAACACACGCATCACATTCAACAGGCCCAGAACACTCTCGGGATCGCGACATACCCTTCGGTAAACCAAACACTTGTCAACCTCCTTTCCGGAGAGAGTGCCAGCACTGCGCAGCAAGCCATGCCAAATTGTTTGCACCAGTTGTTCGCAAATGCTTCCGATCACCGGCTGTGGCAACATTGGCGCGCCAGAATCAATAATTCGCGTGAGGGTGTGGCAGGCTGAAGAGAAAACCTTCGAAGGAGCCCCTGCATTCGCCTCATTTTCCTTGAGAACGTCGGCTTTTCGCTTGCGTGAGACTGGAAGCCGGACGAGGTGCTCTTCCTTGTGCAATGGGATCCCAGCCTCGTGGTGCATGGCATCCAAGGCATACTGGCAAAGTCTGCTCAACAAAGGCTGACGTAGGAGGATTGCAGGAGAATTGCTCTCAAGCCTCCGAATAAGCTTGAACACTCCAATGCAGTGCTTTCCATCTGTCTTCGGACTCTGGTCTGCGAGCATCTCAAGCCACCTGCGCACTTGTGCTGAAAACACCAAGAGTGATGCACCAGACACATCAACGGCAGCAGAAGCGAGTTCTAGAGCTGCATTCAGGAGTGTGAGTAGCTCAGATTGAACTGCATCGTTGGAAATAATCTTGGAGGCTATCGATGTTTCTCGCAGCAAGGATCCCAAGAGAAGATCAATGGTGCCCATGATCTTCGGCAAAGGCAACAAAACCAATGCATCGTCCACATCTGCACCTTTGCGATCCCGACGAGGGGGTAAGTCTGCGGGCTTGCTTCGGGTGTGGAGCAAAAGAATCTTGAGAAAATCCACAAGCCTCACAGATTGAAGAATGGCACCTGCAGCGGGAGCACCGTTGAGATTTGGTCGAATGGACTGGTCGAAGAGTTGGGATAGCTCGTCACAAGCCAAATGAATGGCTTTTTCTGCGGTGGGTAGCTCGGCATCTGTGCCGCGAGCTAACCAGGTCATTCGGCAAAGTGCCAGACTCGAAGGCTCTGCTATTTGCTTCTTTGGGTGCACAGCTAGCGGCCAAAGCAATGGCCAAAGTGATGCAACTTGTCCACCAAAGCTGTTGCCATCCATGAGCAAGGCACAGCTACCTTCAGCAACAGCCTCCTGCACATGGAAGGATTTGGGGTGAGCTTCTAGGGCTGCCTTAATATGTGGTACCACCTTCCGGGTCCACCCTTGCTTTTCAACACGCTCTTCCTTCGAGACTTGATGCTTCTGGCTCGCCAGGACCAAGGAGCACAGGGCCCGGATGCAAACCGCGGAGACTAAGGGCCAGCTGGAAGCGCTTGAGGCTACGACACCTTTGACGACTGAATCATTCACCAAGGCCACCTCCACATCCTTGGGAAACTGAAGGTCCAGCGCGGCCAAGAGGGCTGATGCAGCTAGCAGTGAACGAGAAGGATTACTCACTTGAGACTGGGACAGGGTGGTGGCAACCGCTTGAGCCAGGGAGGCCAAGCTGGTAGCACTACCAGAGAGTCGGGCTGACAACTCAAGATCCAAGGTCTGGAGAACCAGTGGCAAAGCACTGCTCAAATCTTTTGATGCTAGAAGGTCCTTCCATTTCACACGGGCCATGGCAACGGAGACTCAATGGGTTTGGTCCAATGATGCAGGTGTTAGTATCCTTGGCCGGTCGCTGTGGTCTGCTGTCGGCTTGCACATCTCTGGATTTTTGGTGAGAACTGCACAGGAGAGCGTCAGTTAGTGTGGCCAAGATTCTCGAGCCTGAACCTCGCGAGCCCCATGTTTACCGAGTAACACTTCTCACCGTTCTGTGCCAATCTCAACTGTGACAACACCGCCCGCGCAAGAAACCACGCGCCAAAACAGCCTCTACCGCAACAAATATTCAGCTATGAATCATAGTGGATTTGAGCATAATCAAGAGCCTGCAGCAAGCCTCAGTAGAACTGATCAGGGTGGAAAGAGCTATTCGGGTATGATGCAGTCTGTACAGCCCAAGAACCGGCGCCCAAGCTGTCAGCCACAGGGTTCCCCAGTTGGTTTGGGGCAGCCTTGATAGCTGCAACAACCACAGCTTGTACCTGAGCTATGCCCGAAACAATCCCTCCTCCAGATTCGTCAACAATGGAGTAGAAATTCGAAAGGAAAGAAAGAGCAAAGAGGAATGCTCCTGGAAAGGCGTCGTTGATTCATGGATCTATGTTACACTTATTGACCAGGCCACGATCACATGCAAAAGGTCCGGGATGTAGACTCCACCTGTCTTCTTTCCAACATCATTCACCTGGCACATGCAGCTCTGCCACACACTTCCACAGGTCGGGGACCGCGCAAAGCCTCGACCTTCTTGATGACGAAGTATGGAGGTGGTGACATTTCACAGGAGGGATGCAAACAGAGGCGCGTTACAATATTGAAGAACGTAATCTTGTCCACGATGACCTGGCACAGGCCATTCTCCAGTCGTTCAAAATCAAACTCAGCAGACGTAGCAGGTAAACAGGTTCTACGAACTGAACGCTGGCGGCCACTGCACCAGGACTTGCAAACAAAGGCTGCCTGCTTGGTCATCAGGTAATCGTTGAACCTCACAATCACATCTGAAAGATTGAGAAGGTGCAGCCTCGCACAAGGACTTGAATAGATTCTAGATGCTGACAACTTACTTGCGTCCAGGTGTGGAAACCTTCTTTGCAACTTCTGGTCCGGTTCTAATGTCCTTGATTTGATATCTCCGTACCTGATTAGCTCATATTAGCTCATGGTTTCCTGCTCCCTTGGATGTTGTGCACGGGGACGTGTGATTTAAGAAGTGAAAACAAAGGCATCGTCATCACAATCAACATGCGTATTCCAGTACAATATATGACTCCAGACTTGGTTCAACTCTCAAAATACTTGCCCCATGACAGTTCTGCATTCAATGGTGTTCTTATCCATGTCCCGTAGTGTCGCCCTGCTTCAGCTATTTGCCGTAAGGACAAGAACGGGGTTCTTAACATCCAAACAGATTTGGGGGAGTCAGAACCTGGTAAAGTTTAGCGTCATTGTATGCCATCCCCTCTTGTTTTCTCCCTTCACTCATCCTTACAAACCGAGTTTCTGCTTGTTGGCCGCGGACTTGGAGGCTGCGCTGATGTGCTCCTCGTGGAGTTGTCGTCAGTGTTCAGAATAAAGCGACACGCAAAATTGATCAAACTCACTCTTTTGTCATTAGTCATCTTTAGTCAGAGCAAGTTGCCATCTGAAGGCTGAAAAGTATATAGCTTGGTTGAGTCAATGTTACAACCATGGAAAGCTCTGGGAAAGAAGACACCGTCCATGATAGTCTTGCCGTTGGAGGTGCCATCAACGCGTTGATCCTGAATCCGAGACATGAAGCACAAATTGGGACGACGGCCGTCCCGCACGTCCGCAGCTCTAGGACTCCCAACCCAATTCAGCCGCACGTCCCGCAGCGTAAGCTCTTCCAAGTACAACGGATTGAAAAACATCGAACGGAAGCCTCAGCACGGATCTCGTACACAGTCACGTCTGAACGGATCCGATCAACCCTGTGGCCCTGTGGCACCATGAATCCCATGATGCTCATGAGAGCGGCCAAAAAAATGCACGTCTAATAGCATCTTGCAGCAAAGAAACTTAAATCGAAGATGCCATTATCTATGATCAGGTATGGGAACTCACCTGGGCATGCGATTTGGGCAAGACACTTTAGTCCAACCCAACGCATACCTGCATACACAAGGACAGGTCCATACGTGGCCCTCCGCCATGTCGCCAAAGCCCGGTGGACTGGCCACCCGGAGGTTCGCCAGGCTCCAGCGTGCGCTCAGTGGGGAGATCTCCACGGAGTCCACCGTGGTGGGCACCCCAAAGGTCTGCAAGCCCGCGGCCTCCATGGCATCGGTCGCCCAGGAGTTCAAAAAGAACGAGGCCCTGGCAGAGTGAGTCACTGAGCTGAGCACCATCGTGACAACTTGGACGCTGAACGGAATTGGGAAGGTTGTCGAACCGCAGCTGACACTACGACACTGGGCGTCGCACACAAAAAGCGGCAGCATTGTGAAACATAAGCAGCAAAGGCAAATTCCGCCCCAGCACCAGGGACTTCTCCACACACTTTCGTCGCCTTGGTTCATTTCAAGCTCGATGGACCCACTTCAGTCCTCCCACATCTGATGTACGGGTGGCAAGCACGTTTTTTCTTCTCATTTGTGACCAGGGTGCCGCTGTAGTTGTCTGAGAAATAGTCCTCGTCGATCCCGTCCTGTGCCAAAGCTGTAAACTTGGCATTGCCGTAGCTTCGCTGCTTCATGACCTGCAGGAAAACCCTACACATTGAGACCGTGGGGAATCGGGTTTCCCCTTCTTTTGCCATCATCTCACAGGCCTCCGCAAGGACCAAACCCTGCTCTCAAAGCTGTGACAGGTAGTAGTTGAATGGGTTTGGGGAATCCTTGGGGTTGGTTGCTAGGCTATGCAAAAGCTATGTGCTGGATTGAACTGAACTGACAGAGCCTGATGCAAGCATGGTTTTGAGTTTTGTCAGCAACACTTAGCTGCTCATGCTGGAGCCCGCAAAGGTACAGTACAGGAATCATCCGAGATGCTCAAGTCCAAACAAATCATGGAAAGGCAAACAATGCACAATTTCATACAGCGCAACTTACCAGCTCTTAAGGCGCAAGAAAGGATGTGTTCAACTCAAAACAATGAGGCTTTTTGCGCAGAAAATGCCCCAATCCTATGGAGTGGGGCCACTCGCGAAAACTGAAATGCTTATATAGCAAAGAAGGTTCTATTCCGCTACGACCAAGGACTTGTTGAACTTGTTCATGACATTGTCAATGGTCACCCCATCCGCAAGATCCTTGACTGCCTCTGTGGTCATGCGCAGGGCCATTTGTGTTTGGTCCATCTCCTCGGCTTGGAATTGCCCCAAGACGTGACTAACCACTGCATTTCGGCCTTCACTCTTGGGAGGCCGAGAAATACCTAAACGCATCCGTAGGAAGTTCTTCAGGCCTTGTGCTTGAATAGACTTCACACCATTCTGCCCTCCTGCAGATCCAGACTTGCGCAAGCGCAGGCGACCTACATCCAAGTCCAAGTCATCATAAATTACCACCAAGTTCTCTTCGCTGATCTGATAGCCTTGCACTAGTTCCAACACCGGACCCCCAGAACTGTTCATCATTGATGCGGGTTTGAACAAGACCAGGTCGGTAAATGCAGTGTCAGCGAGCTGATCTTTCGATTTTCGGGCCAGTTGCAAAACATTGCCTCCAAATGCTCCATGCCAAATGTCATCTTGGAAGAACCACTTTGCTGCAGGATCCTCCAGCAAATGAGACGCAATTGCATCTACCGCAGCGAAGCCGATATTGTGCCTGGTTCCCACATATCGGCTACCCACATTGCCCAAGCCAACCACAGCGAGAACCTTGCGCTTCTCCTCCCCTGGGCCATTGGAATAGGAGGACCGCAGTGGCTGAAGCTTCAGTGTCTGAGCTGTCAGTAGCCGATTCTTTCTTCCGGATCTCCTGGCCATGGCTACTCCAATGGCAGCGCCAGCCGCCCAGCTGCGTCGCATGGGCTCACCCCGAAGAGAAGCTGTGCAGGCTGCGCCCCTGAGCCTGATGGAAGGCTCCAAAGGTGCCGCATGTTTTGGTGCGTTTGCCACCTGTGGCGGAAGCATGGCGGCCGAAGGACCCGCTGTGAAAACCTCAATCAAAGCACAGAAGCACCTCCAGTCGCATCATAATGGGGGAACTTACCCGAAATTCGATGAAAGTCTCTCTGTGAGCAAACTAGCCAGCGGACCACAATGGTGCAAGGCCAGCAACATGAAAGCTGGAACACAGCCAATCCGTGCGTCACTTGTAGTGTGAATGGCTCAAGCAACCTTTAGTTCTGGACAAACCTTTGGTACTTAGAAAGCAGGCCCACAACATTCGGCATGCCAGACTCTCTTCGCTGGCAAGCGTCAAATTCACTGCAGTTCATCCTTGTGCAATGGCTCAGAGGCAGAATTCAATCGACCCAGACAAATGCCATTACATGTTGCTGTAGTATAAGCACACTGCTTGTTAGCGTGCTGTCACACTTCAAAAACACATGCGACAGCATGCGCTATAGCCCTCCAAATGAACATGTGCATGTGGAGAGGGCACACTGCACGCCACGTGACCGCATTTCACGCACGTGTCGTGCAACTGCTATTGAATACGACTTGCAAATTAAGCATGCAAATGCTACTCTTAGGAGTGTGAGGCTACTTGGTGTGACACCACCACGTCAAGTTTGTCTCCCAAGTCTCGCCCCCCTTCCGCTACAATTGCACGTTGTGTCAGCAACATGATGTTTGCGACAATCCCCGAGTTGGTTTGATCTCTGGGCAGCGGTGGCCGGCGTTCATTCACATACTGATCATTGAAGGCCTCGGTCCAATCGTTGCCCGCGATGGTGCGCGTGAGATCCTGGGGTATCGCGCTCTCGCCGTGCATCACACCCAGCAGCCCTGCCAGGGTTGCTGCTTGATTGTCGCAGTCAAAGCCTGCAGCGATGGCAATGCCCACGGTGCGCTTGAAGTCGCCCTCCCCATACAGAAATGCCATAGCCCCGAGCACTCCATTGATTATGGATGAGACGGCACAGGGCCAGGGCATGTCACCGCAATCTTTGGGATAATAAGAGAAGTTGTCCTTGAAATGATAGGGCAGAGACGCAACAGCCTATCTCAATGGTGGCACAACAATCCTTCAACAACCACTTGTGAAAAAAAAACATGCAACAACTTGATATACAGTAGAATATGTGCTTGGATGTGTGTGTGTGTATATATTTGTGTTTTTTAATGAAGTACCACCGTACAGTGATAAGTACCACCGTACAGTGATCTCATCGGCAAAGTTTTCTTCGAGCGTCCCGGATCTTTTGCCAAACAGGCCGCCAATCATCTGGGCTCTGCTTGTGCCACTTCCAAACCTTCACCAAAGCCCGCCGAAACGGGCTCCCTTTGGGAACGGCCTGTCGCCCGATGCGATATAAGACACTGACGTCGGTAATGAAAAAGGCCGCACTGTACATGGCGGCATAAAACCTCCAAGCATCAAGCATTGACAGGCAACAACTCGTGAACACTTTGCACATAAAGTAATTTGACATGTTGTTTGGAACCGTGAGCATTGTCATGACCACATACTGGAAATCTGCCGCAACCAAGTCTCTTCTGCAGTTGCTGAGTCTCAGCTTGAGTAGATATCAAACAAGGTACCATTCGATAACATTTCCCTGTGACAAAAAAACACAAAGAATGACAAATGACAAATAATGCCCCGTACTGGAGTTGTGGGAGCTGTGCTTTGGTAGAATATGCTGCGTCTTTTCCCTGTCTGGTTTCACTGTGAAAATCTGGGGGTGTCGGAAGTGTGGCTCACAGTTCAAAAATTGACACCATGTAACTGTAACTGGTTTCCTTTTGGAATCGGTGCTGAGTCGGACGCACCGTACTCCGGAAGAAACCCATTAGGTTTGTGTTTTTAAGTGCAATTCTTACGCAGAATGTGCATGTCTGTGCGTGACCTGTCGAAGAACCTTCACGCTGCGGCAAAGCATTGGCTGTACCTTTCGCCAAGAAATCCCTGGTGACGTAGATGTGTTCGTGCATGTTGAGGCGGTTGCCATTTTCCACCTGCATCTGTCATTTTTGTTGCTTGAATGATGAGGCCGTGCCACGATGTAGGTTGTGCGCTATTAGTTTGCAACACAAAAAATGCAGGCTAAAACCTTCACCAAGACTAAACCAGGTCTACGCTCATCTGGCCAAAGTCATTGCAGAAACCATCGCCCATAAACTACTTTCTCATGGTATACGAGCGGCGCCTTGTGGGATGTGTCCCCCACGAATCGCTGGTGATCCGTGCACCCCACTCTGCCCGCTCCACGGCCTCAACAAACCGATACGCACACACTAGCAACAAGTGCATTGATATTAGTAACAAGTGCGTTGTCACTAGTAAGAAGAAGTTACTATCGCCAAATCAGAAGAGGTTTCGTAGGCTCCGACTGTCCAACAATCTTTGCAGGTCTTTGCAGCTCAGCTGCCTTCTTCACCATGCCTGGGTAGATGGCACTCCACAACTCATTGACTAACCTTGGGCGCAGCACAAAACATACAGATCTTGCCACTCGGCCAACCTTGAAAACAATACCCCACCCCTGTGACCGTCCGAGTTGCTGAGGATCAATTGTCCACCAATATTGGTTTTCTTTCTTGGAGCCAGTCTCTGGAGGCAACATTCCTCACCATGTGCGTCACAATCAATTATATAACATGTTGAAGAAAAAAGACAATGTCATGCCATCCAAGGGGCCTGTGTCCATGTTTTCTCGAGCAACTCGATTAGCAAACCAAAGGGTGTCTGAGCCATTGACCTTTATGTTGATGTAGGTTTTCCAATACTCAGCGATCTCTGCATATGTCAAGTCCAGCCCATGTTCCATCAAAGCATGAAGCGTGACAAATTCAATGTCTGTGTCATCATCTGTGTACGCACCCTGCAGTTCGGTGAGCCTTTGAGGAATGCAACCACGGCCGTCAGTTTCACAAGGCCCATTCACATTGAGACCAGACGCATTTGCTGTTGCTTCATCATAGTAGGTGTGCGGCTCAATGGGCATAGGTTCATCCCAGTAGGTGAACTCAAAAGGAAGTCCCATGAAATTGCCAACTAGCTGCCCCACCCAATAGCCCATCAACTTGTCATGAAGAACATCCTCGACACATCTGCATGTCAAATTTCTACCCCAAAAAAATAACAGAACGGGTGTCCCTGAGAGTGCGGTTTTCCATTGATTTGCAGATGTTTTTCTGGAAATTGTGCCACAAATAGAGGCATTTCAGATATGACCAGATGCTTTGAGTATTCATAAATACAAAAGAATACAAGTTTCCAGAGGTTTGGGAATTTTGGGTCGCAAAAAATAAAATCCACAAGTCTTTGCAGAAAGAGTTCTGAAATATTGGGTTTGTTTGTGTCTTTTTTGTTTTTCATCTTTTTTTGGTTCCTCTATCTGGCGGCCCAAGCAGACAGGGGATATCAATAGGAGGACCAGAGGTTTGGGAATCCTTGGTCTCCAAAAAACACAAACAAAAACAAAAAAACAATTTTCCAGAGGTCTTTGAACTTGGGGTTTCTGCAGAAAGCGTTTTGAAATATTGTTTTTTTCGTTGTTTTGTTTTTTTTGTTTTTTGTTTTTTGATTTTTTTGGTTCCTCTATCTGGCGGCCCAAGCAGGCAGGGGACACCAATAGGAGGACCAGAGGTGTGGGAATCTTGGGCCTCCAGAAAACAAAAAAACAAAACAAACAAACAAAAATAAACAATTTTCCAGAGGTCTTTGAACTTGGGGTTTCTGCAGAAAGAGTTCTGAACTATTGTGTTCTTTTGGTGTGTTTTTTGGTTTTTTTTTTCACTTTTGTTTTTTGCTCCTCCATCTTGCGGCCCAAGCAGACAGGGGACATCAATAGGAGGAAACATTACAATACATGAATGGCAAAAATCATATCTAGTAAGCAGAGAATGGTTCTGGTGCAGTATCACAAGAGCAATGGATTTTAACAATGTATAGTTTTCAAGAATGAAAAAGCAGATGAAGAGATGCAAAAGAATTTAGACATATGATATTTAAAAAACAAGATTGAAGGATACAAAAAAACAGGATAAAGTGGCTGATAGAGAAATAGATGAAGAAAACTATATTAATGAACATGGGTGTATGAATCATTTCCATGGCTGTTGCGCCCACTGTGGAATAAAGCTCTATATTGAAATGAAGCAAGGCAAATTATCAACAAACTTCACAGCACAAAGGCTAGACAATACACTGTGCCATTCTGTGGATTATTGCACTCCATACTGTAAGTATTGTAATTGTAGTGCTCACTGATTATTTTTGAAAAAACTTGTTCAAAAATAGTTATATGATGTTATATAATGAGTTCAAAGCAAGAAATATTGAATTGTGCATATTTTGGTAGAGCGGGTTATGGAAGTAAAGCAACAACTTTAAGAGATGCCCCCCCCAAAAAAAGGATTCTGAAATAGAAATGTCTGATGTTGAAGTTTTTTTTAAAAAGTTGAGATAAAGAAAAAACAAAGAGGTCAGAACAGTTTTGTAGCACCTCAGAATAATCATACCTACTAACTTGACATATTTTTTATATCACCTGATGACATTGAAGCAACACAAAAATTCAGAGCGGGTTTGGTAATGATAGATGTTCTGAGTATATATGCTGTGGTAGTGCCAATAAAGAGTAACACTTTACTTGACATAATTGCTGGAACTATGGAAGGCTTACAAAAAATGGGATAGAAGTGCAAAATTTTGTAAACTGATGATGAAAGAGGTATAGCAAGTGCTGATTTTAAAGAATATGTGGATGGTGAGGGCATTGAATTATACAGGGCAAGAGGACATCCTGCCTTCGCTGAAAGATTATTAGGACATTTAAAGATAAACTATTTAAAAGAGTTGAAAATGATGAGAAGAAGGGAAAGCAGAATATACAATGGACTGAATACATATTAGAAATAATGCTGACTTATAGTAATAAAGATGTGCATAGTGCAACAGGACTAACATCAAATGAAACAAGGAAAGAGAAGAATGAGTTTAAAGCAAAATTGAATGTATCAGTGAAAGCAAGGAAAGAAAAGATGTATCCAATATTAGGGGTGGGAGACAAGGTAAAAATAACGAGAAAGAAAGCAATTACAGAGAAAGAGAGAACAAGTCATTTTTACAAGGTGAATATACAATAGAAAACATTGCAACAAAATTAGGACAAAAGTGTTATACATTAGAAGGATTTAACCGTCCATTATTAAGGCATGAGTTGTTAAAAATATATTCTACTTAGTAAAAAATACATTTTGAAGGAAATCTATTTAAAAAATATTATGTTATAACACTCACTACTTAAAATCATAAAACAGCGCACTCTGACAAACACCCGGACTCAAAAATAGAAACAAAAACAAACAGTCACATCCCGCTGTTTTCGAAGCAGTGACTTTGCCGCCTTACTGATCTCCCGGGTTGGCGGGTGGGGCCCTGAAGCACCGCGCAGCACGGAGCCAGCCTCGAAAACAAGGTTGAGTTGCGCAGGTCCAGTTTTGCAATGGTTCCTTGTGATCATAAACCACTTTGTCTCGGTTTATGTTTGACACCGTGGCCCCTGAGCTCCAAACAAATGCCGCAGGCAGGAGAAAGAATTGCAACCGGAACATGAAAACAGCTGAGTCCCCTACAACACAAGATCCAAAAAGGCAACTGGCCCACACGCATAAACAAAAACCCCAAAGCGTTCAACAACCCACCCTTTCATGCCAAAAACCGGCATGTTCTAGAACATCGCCGTCCCCCGGGTGATGAATGAGTTTGAACGAGTGTTTGAAGGGGTAATGATGGAGTTGTTGGTTTCATGGAAAATCGAGACTCTAAGTGCAAGTGTTTTAGGAAATGTGCTACAACATTTTATGTAAAGGAAGGCTGCTTATTCGGAAGGATTCAGTTTGGGATCTTTTATGCCTAACAGGAACAAGCACCCAAGACCTTGAAGTCTGGCCGTTGTAAGTAGGCCATTTATATCGGGCTATATTTTTCATACACGTAGCACTGATGGTGGGGACCAGCGTCCCCCAGCTGTTTTTGATGTTTGGTTATTAATTATGGGTCCCCCAGTTATTGAAAGCGAGAATGAAAAAATTCAGCATGTTAAAACATGATTCCACCTAGGTCCAGCCAACTCAATGGGCTACAGTTTAACTTTAAAAAATGAAAAATGTTTAAACAAGTGAGTAAGGTAGTGCGAATACACACATTGTTGGACAAAATTGCTCATAAAACCACAACAACGTACTTGGACTCAATTTTGAAAACACATGGTCCTTTGGTGGGGGTCTTGGTCTACCTTTGGTTTTGATTGGCTGAACTTATGCACAACCTGGGTGTATTAAACCATCGGTTCATGGGAGCCAAACACACGCAATGTAAAATAATACTAAAAATGGATTGCCACAATCTTGGTTGGTTGCCAAACTAAACCCTGGGTAGTCTAGCCCAATCAACCGTGCGAAGCGTGCGAACTCTTTCACAGTTTGGGCCTATGCGTCGGTTCACTTCTCGATTTGTGCTGTGTCATGTGTGCATGACTGACCTATGCGTAGTTTTTGACACGCTCCCTTCACCCACACATTTGCAACACAGTTCGAGCTGTTCCGCCCCAGCAAAATGGGGGCACACGTCGCAAAAGTGGATTTTCATTCCACGGCGACAAACTCTGTAGCACAGGCTCTGTCGCATGAGCTTTAAACTGTGCTCCGAGGCCAGCTGACACTCTTGCAGTGCCATGTCACGCCGTGTGTCGAGCTGGAAGAGCTTATTCTGCATTTCATTGCTCTCAGCTTCGTAGTGCGCAAGGGCCTCAAAGTCAACCCAATTGTCAGCCTGGGTTGCCTTGTCATCCATGCCCTTTTCTTCACTCTTGTACTTCATGATCTTCTTAATCATCTCGTTGAAGGCGACCTTGATGTAGTTCCAAGTCACGTAGGTCACCTTCGGCAAATGGTGCTGCAGCCACTCAATCAAGCTCAAGGCCGCAATCAATGTGCAAAACAGCCAGATCCATTGCCAGCTGTCGCTCCCTTCATTGTTGGCCTCTTCTGTTGATGCACCAGCAACACTTTGCAAATTTGAGAGCAGCCAAATCAGGCCAACATGAAGATTCTTGTTCTTCAGCACCTTCTGTGTTCCCTTTCTCATCCGTTCACGGTGTTCAAGTTCACGATACTCTTCATGCCCAACTCGATCTCCTGTACTGTTCACCATCTTGAGCATGTACAGTAGACCGAACAGTCTGTTCCTTGTCAGGCCTTTGGCGCCAATGGCAGCGGAGTTCAGCACTGTTGGAATTGGGCTCACTGTAAGGATCTTTTCCTTTTCTTTCTGCTGGATCCATAGTAGGGCGGCATCCAAGCGCCTGACCCGGCCAATGCCTTGCCTCTGGACCATCGAGCGTGCTGCTGAGCTGTCGGACCTGACCCTCATCTTGCAAGGCTCTTCAACCATCTTCATCCACAGGCGCCGAACAAGTAGTCCATCTGAGCGCCCTCCAACCATGGAGATGAACTCAGCCTCACCTGATGATAGTGAGATCGACTTCTGGGACCGAACTCGTGACTCCTGCGATTCGCAAGGAATACCGTAGCAGGAGCCTGGATCAAACTGGCATGCAAGCGCACCTGTTTCTCATGGCGTCATGACAAGTTCCCGTCCCTGGTGGCTCGAACCAGGAACGTCAGTTCAAACACGGTCAAAAGGTGAGAGGCGTCTCATGGTCAACCGTTTCATTTCTAATTCGCACTGGTCTTTGTTTTCTTTGACCTGAGACACCTTTCGCCAACCATCGTTGTTCTCGCCATCTTCTGCGGAGCGAGAATCCACCAACGTGACTTTTGGGCTTTCAGCCCACCGTCTAAAAGAGTCTCTCAGCTTGGCACAGCGCTTCGACAGCGCATCGGCTGCTTGCTTTTCTGTGGGCACCCGCCTCAAATTGCGGCAGGATTGGCGGAGACCTGCCACATCTATCTCAACCCGCTTTTCAGCAAATGACGTGCTGAGGCGATGGATGGAGTCCCATAGGCTCCTGGCATCTGTGACAGGAATCACTTCGAACAGCGGAGTGCCACATGTTGCACGGTATGCAGGATCCACCATTTCACTGAAGACACAGGCGATGAACTGTCCTGTGTCGTGAGCCCTGTCCAGGGATGCTGCCTCGGCGGCCAGTGTGCTCCGGAGGATCCGCTGATGCCTGAAACTTTTCCAGTCCAGGAGCGAAGCAGGTTGCTCCTCTTCGAGCACGCCCTTGTTGGCGGCAACTACCACGTAGCCTCCCTGACTCTTGCACTTCGGGGCGTTTGCCCATCCAGAGTCGCCGTAGGTGATGAACAGAAGCTCTTCCAACTTCAGGGGGGTCACCTTGAAGAAGGCGTTGGAGGTGGCACGGGCATACTTGATGACTTTATTGACCTCTTGCAAATCGGACACCATGAGTTCGCTGGGTGGCTTCTGGAGAAGTGACACATCGGCTGCAAGGTCGCCGCGAGTTGTGCCAGCTAGCCATTGCAAACTTCCGATTCCAGAGCGAAACTCCGTGATGAGTGAACTCCGATCTGCAGCGAGCTCTTCGGTGATCTTTGTCGTATAGAGCTCGGCCATGTAATGGGTCTGATCGATCGCGTAGCTTCCGTCAGGTTGCCTCTGAATCTTTCGACCCACAAAAATGAAACTGTCATACTCCCATTCAGATCCCCACACAAAAGCCTCTTTGACCTGCTCCAAAAAAACTCAAATCCTTTCACACAACACGTCACTATGTCGTCCACATGGACTCCAAGCAGGGCTGTGACCTGGGCACCGTCATCCTGGATGAAGAGACAGGGATCGAGTGAGTGTTGGCGCCACTTCAGGTCAGTGAGCACTTTGAGCACGTGCAAAAACCAGCGCCTTGGCGCGTTTGCCTGCCCGTACACAGGAGCCGTCAAGCGGTACAGGAGTTGGGGATCTTGCCACTCAGGTATTGCCTCCTTGCTGATGCCGTCATTGGGTGGCTTCATGTAGATGCAGGCAGGACGCTCATCATCTGGCTCGCCCTGCAGAAATGCACTCTTGCAATCAGCGTTGGCTAAACTCACTTGATAGCATGCTGCCCACTGGATGATGAGATGGAGACTGGTCTTAGCAAGAACCGGTGAGTCACGGCTCAGGAGAGGAAGGCGCGGATCTTGAAATCCGAGTACGACCACACGGGCCTTCGCCTTGAAGGATGCGCCGCCGTCTTTTGGCTTCCAGCGATAGCACACTCGGCTCTTCAAGATCAGGTGCTCATCTATCTCGCCCTTCTTTGGCCAAATGGCGACACAGGATGACCATTTGGTCCATTCACTCCATTCGTCCTGCATGGCCTTGATGAAGGCAGGAACGTCTTTCTTGGCAATGGCTCGCCAAGGAACTTCCCGTTTCATGGCCTGCTTGGCGGCTCTGCCTCCGCTTTCATCGGCCTGCAGCTCTTCATCATCGCTGCTGCTATCAGGTCCTGTAATGACCTCATGAGCGGGCTTGTTGCCCTTGTTGAAGTGTGAAGCTGTGGTGTATGCCTGCCAGTGTTGTTGGGCCCATGTTGGCCTGCCGTGCATTGTGTGTTGCTGTGCATCCTGTAGTGCTTGTGGGTCTGCTGATGTGGTGCTGCCATTGCTAATGTCCTGCACGAAGTTCAGATAGGCTTTGCTGAAATCTTCCTGCTGGAAGAGTGGTGGTAACTCTGGAGGGTTGCCATCCCATCCAAGAAGCCAAGTGCAGTGACGGCCGTGTCTGGTGAGCCAACGTTGCTCTCGTCTCGAGAGTCTTGGTGTTTGTTGCCGTGCTGCTTTGGCTTGTTGTTGTGTCAGCGGCAGGAACGACCTCAAGTTGTGAGAGGTCTGGTGTTCCGGGTTGGAATACCTGGAGCCACTGCCAGTCATCTGTTTTGACTGCGATGCTCCATGGTGTGCCAGTGCTGTGCCAAACATGTTGCGATAGACCTCGGTGTGTTTGGCCTATGCCCATGAGATGACTCTGTGTGCGATACAGGTCATCGAGCTCGTGGGTGTGCGGCAAGGTGATCTCTTCGAGATCCTTGAGGTGTGCTGGTACCCAGGTCTTGCACTTGGTGTGGTAGTGTGCCAAGCTGGGTGTCGTCTTCATGGCTGTGATCTGCTCAAGTTCGTCGAACCAGCTGTTTACCAGATGTGGTTCCGTGACAAACTCGTGTGAGAGACATCTGACGCAGCATGTTTGTTCTGCTGCGTCGGTTGTGGTGTCTTTGCTTCCGCAGCTGCGACAGTAGGTGACCAGTGCGTTGTTCACTGTGTCCTCTGGTGCTGCTGGTGTCTCTGCATCCGGTGGCGTCGATGCAGATGTGTCATGCGCCGTAGTGCTTGCGGCTGCCGGTGCTGTTGGTTCAGCAGGTGTGGTGAGTGTTTGCTCTGCTGTCGCTGTGGGTGTTTGTTCAGTGGCTGATGGCCTCCTGCGGCTGCCGTCAGCTCTGCCTGGCAAGTTGCTTTCTTCTGCTGTTCGTTTCATGCCTGGTGCGGATTCGATGGAAGGCCGTCGGCCTTTGAACTGGTCTGGACCGAAGCTGGTGACAAGCCGGTCCATGGTGTGCGGTAATGCCTGTTGTGGTTCTGTCAGGTGCTGCCAGTCGACTCGGTCCTCAAGTTTGGACCAGTTGTTGTCGTGGTAGGCCCAGCTGGTGCGATATCGACACTGTCCTGTTTGGTGCAAATCAGGAGGTGGTGCTTGAAGTGTCTGAGCATTCTCCAGTACCATGGTGTGTCGGCCATCTGGGTCAAGAAACCAGGAAGGTGTGTGTTCCTGTGGTGCATTGCTTGCTTGTGGCATTGCTCGTGGTGCTTGAGAAGGTCGGGCGTCGAAGTCTACGTCGTCCTCCTCGGGAATTGGTGCAAAGGTGACCGCTGCCGGTCGCTTGCGGCTGGTTGCCAGGGCTGCTAGCTCCAGTGTTCGTGTGGCCGGTGGTGCTGCTTCAGCTTCTGCTGCTGCTGCTGCTGCTGGTTCTGCTGCTGCGAAGTTGTACTCCAAATCGCTCACCGGTGGTGGCATGAGAGCTAGTACCGGTGGTGGTGCTTGTATTGCTGCTTGCTGAGGCTGTCCGCTGGCGTCGAGGATAAGCCGGTCCTCGATCAGCCGTGGTGCTTGTTCTGGTTGCGCATAGCCTTGTGCATGCTTCTTGCTCAGGTCCTGCTCTGCTGTCCTGAGCATACGGAGATCATCTGAGGAGGGTGTCCATAGTTCTTCACCTTCGACCCCTCTGACTTGTTCACGGGCCACTTGGACTGTTCGACCTCGATTGTTCCTTATCCACACTGAGCCTGTTGGGCCGGGGTCAAGGCCAATGATCATGCCTTGTCGGTATCCCTCGGCAGTGCCCTCACCATCCAGTTGGTTTCGTTGTCGAAAGTAGGCCACACGTTGACCAACAAACAAGGGGCCACGCCAGGGGCGACTCTTCCTCAGCATTGCATTGCGGAGTGACTCTCGAAGTCCAAATAGTCCTTGAGTGCTTGATGCCGGACTTGTTCAACATGTCGAAGCTTCTCTGAGTCTTGAATCACCTGTTTGGCTTCAATGGCATCGGGCTCTGACAAAAGTGTGGCCGGAATCTTAGGGTCTCGACCGAATACACATTGATTGGGCGAAGCACCTGAGCGTCTTGCCAGTCTGTTCTTGGAGGCCACGGCCATGGTGATGAGCAACTCAAGTTCCTCCCTCGTTGTGGGTGAAAACTGGTTGATGAGCCTTCTCAGAACCCATTTCAAAGCCTGGCCATGTCTCTCAGCTCGCCCCAACTGCCAGTGAGCATCGGCAGGAACAAAACGGACTCGTATGCCTGCCTGGGCTGCCAGGAGTTCAAAGCCCCAAGAACGAAAGGAGCCTTCAGCATCAAGAAGCATCTCGTCTGGCGGGCCAAAGATGCGAAACCAGCCCTTGATCAAGAGGTCGGTGACAGACTTCTCGCTGCGATCATCGAGGTAGTCAGCAACATGATAGGTCGTGCCATCGTCGACCTGTGAGAGAAGCATGCGCGAAGTGCCTGTGATGTCCTTGATGTAGATGATATCGAGCAGCAAGCGGTCGTTGAATCTGCGAGCTGTCACCACCTTGGTCGGTCGGGGTATCGAAGGTGCTTTGGTTCGCTCACAAACAGTGCACCTGCACGAAGAAGCTCATGGTCCTCCTTGGTCTGTAGCTGGATGCCATGCACCGCGTCCACGGGTTGTACGGCTCGAAGTCCCTGATGTAGTGCTTCGGCCGTGATGTTGGCATAGCCGCCATAGACCTCGCATAGATCACACCCGTAGTGCTGGCGAAGACGTCTTGCCTCATAGCTCCTGTTCGTGTAGATGTCATTCTCCAGCTTGTAGGCCTGGTAGATGTCCTTGGCCGTGCCAAGAAGACGCTTCTGAGTGCCACTTCTCAACTGATGCGCTCCGCAGTCTTCAGGAAGTAGTGGATCATCAGCGGAGCTCTGAAAAATACGAATTGGGCTCATACTCAAAGAAGTCCGTTCCCCTCGTCTTCCTCCTCCAGTAGTTCTTCCGGAAAGCCGTCCGGGTAATAGTTGTCCTGGTCGCGGGAGTCCTCCCCCAGCAGGTCCGAATTGTCGTAGTACATGCCCGCGAACTCGCCCCCCTCGTGAGTCATGCCGTAGTGGTAATCCTCCTCCTCCAGGTAGTGGTCCCTCTCCCGGAGCGACCTCGCTGTTGGGGCCGCCCAACTGGAATCCACACTCATGCTGTCCTGACTGCCACTCGTCATGCGATGCCAAGTCATAGTCGGAGGGGAGATACCCTGTGGCGGCATAGGTCGATGAGCTGCTCCTCTCGACTTGGGCTGTGTTGCCGGTGAGGTGTAAGGCCGCCGATGTGGCGAGTGCCATTGCTCCAAGCCGGCTGAGGAGCTTGCCCAGGTGTCCTTGATGGGTTTGCTCTTGGCTTTGGCCTTGGAGGCTGGGCCTGGTACTCCCTTTGGGACCTCGAGAGGAGTCTGAGCTGTTGGGGAGGCTTTTGGTCGGCATGGTACCAGAGCTTCCGTCTGAGGGCGCACGACCCAACGCATGCCACACAGGTCGCAAATAGTCATTTTGCGTCCAGCCGCTCCATAGTTTCGCACGCCCAGTGGATGCGTGCACCTTGCAGGATCCTTCGGGTAGTGGTTCTTCTGGTGATTGCTCTTCAGCTGCAACGCTGTGGTAGAGCTCAGCATTGTTGTTGCCGTCTGGGGCGGAAACCAGAGAGCCAGAATGCGATCCTTCATGGAGGGCCTCATACTGGTGGCTGCGTAGTTGAGAACCGTCTGCTTGATCGTGTAAATGAACTCCAGCAATCGGCTCAACATCTGTCGCCATAGCCGCAGTCCCGAAGGTGGTGCAATGCTCTGAGACCGTGGCCGCGACTGCATGTGGTGGAGAACGCGAGGGTCGGTGAGCTCGTGGTAGTCGCACGGGCTTGAGCGGAAAACCATCGGGCGCCCAAGCATCAGGCAACTGATCTGATTGTGGCAGTTGAGGCCACTCAAACGGAAATGAAGGCCACTCATCAATTCTGATCGCAAGGTGACCACATTGAGACAAAAACAGGGGTGAAGTAGTGTTCAAGGCTTTGTAGTACATGACTCCTTCACATAGGTCTGGAACTGCGCCGAGTGCTTCGAGAAAACAAAGCAGGTGCATTGACTTCCACTTCACTGATTCCCAAAACCACGAGGCCCCCACCGAGTCCTGCTGGATATGCGAGCCGCTGGGTGCTTGGCACGCCTTCGTTCGGACCGAATGAAAACTTGCAGAACTCTTTGAAGGGGATGGCAAAGAGGGGTTCAATCTCATGACATCGTCTCTCATGCCATGCACGACCGGCGACTTGTCTTTGACAACCAGTATCAGCGATCATGACTGCAGCATCTACGTCCACATACTGTAACATGATCTTGGGGTTTGGGAGGATGCCCACGTCATAGTCTTCGGAATAGTTCCCTGTATGTGGAGGTAGATGCTCACAAAGACTAGGCAAACAAACAGCACTCTTGTTTTCCTGCGCTGCAACCATGTATGATGATGCCATGGCGTTGCCATGAGGGTCCAAAAGAATTCCACTCGAAGTGAGCTGTGCCGAGTGGGTGGAAACATTCGGGCAATCCCGAAGCCAGTGAGTGGCGGATCCACAAGCGAGGCACAATGAGCCTTCAATCCGCTTCTTCTGTTGGTCAAAGTTGGCTCGAGTCGGAGTGATGCCCGGCTTGCCTTTGGAGGTGCTGCTCAAAGGACCCTTGCCTTTGCCCTTATACTCTTGCCCTTGTTCTTGCCTTTCCCTTTTGGAGATGTCTTTCCACTGCTCTTGCCACTGCCTTTGCCCTTGCCCTTTGGCTGAAAGTAGCCTCGGGACTTGGTGAGATCTGCCAGGCGTCGACTCGTGACTGTCAGGGCCTCAACAACTTGAGACAACTCATCAATCTCGTCAGTCGGCTCCTCGTGGTACTCCTCCGAGGCATTCCAGTCGGGTTGAGGTGTTGCAAACTCTTCTTCATCATACTCCATGTCCGGGTACTCCGGAATGGGGTCGAACATCACCTGGTCACCTGGCTCACCGTCAAGGGTGTCATCGATCTTGGTCTCATAGTTCTCGTAGGTCTCATTGGGCCACTCAGAGGGCCAATCCTCCAATCCCGCGTCCTCGACGCTGTGGCCTGTGTGCCAGGCACGTCGAGATCGCCTGGTCGAAGAAGAAGCGGTGCTCGCCGTTGAAGAAGTGTTCCTTTTCGAGAGTCCTGACCGAGTCAAAGGTAGGCCTGTGACCGTCATCCCGGCGGGATATTGCATTTTGACTGCTTCCAAAATGCGGCTCATTTCGTATCGATTGCCGGCGGCCAGCAAAAGAGCCGAAGTTGACCTCTCGTCAAGACGTAGTCCATCAAGCAGCTTGATGACCCTAGCTTCTTCCGGATACGAAGGGACCTTGCCGTCCATCAAACGACGTTCCAACAAACGGAACCTGCGGACGAACGATTGGATGGATTCACCTTGAAGTCGACCCACAGATTCATACTCCCTGATGATGCCTCCTTGTCTCAACACCTCACGCTCGCCAAATGACTCATTGAGATCACCTAGCAGCAAGTTGATACCTTCAGGGCAATCGAATCGATCGTCCGGCACTTCCTCGAACTCGATCTCAGCCTCGCCTTTCAACTGTTCACGTGCCCAGAGTGCCTGTTCGTTCGGCGGCAAAAACTCTTTTGTAATGCGAACCCAGCGAAGGAGCCTCTTCCTGTAGTGCCTAAGGCAGAATGGGTCAGCTTCCGTATCGCCAGAAAAGACGTGCCGGGGGTACCTGGCCGCTTCGCCATCGTTTGGTGGTAGCATTGGCAGCACTAGCATTGCTGCCTGCCTTCTTCTGACTGCCGCGACCGCGGCTGCCTCGACTTCGTCGAGAAGGAGCTGCTGAAGGATCACTATTCGGAGGGGTCGAAACACGAGGTGGTTCATGCGGGTCCTCATCTGGTTCAAAAGGTGGTTCCGCGTCCCAATCATAGTCGGGGTTTTCCTCAAAGTCGAAGTCATAGGCCTCTGGGGCCTCATGCGGAGCGCTCGCGGCTGCTTCCGCGTAGTCAGCGCCCTCGCCTAATGGGAGGTCCTCATCAAAAGCAAGGTCGGCCGACATGTGATCTGCAAAGGGTGCGCCAAGCCAGAACCTTCGTCGCTACCAATGCGATTCACAAGGAATACCGTAGCAGGAGCCTGGATCAAACTGGCATGCAAGCGCACCTGTTTCTCATGGCGTCATGACAAGTTCCCGTCCCTGGTGGCTCGAACCAGGAACGTCAGTTCAAACACGGTCAAAAGGTGAGAGGCGTCTCATGGTCAACCGTTTCATGGAATTCGCAACTCCATCAAATTTCCATCCAACAGGATCTGGAATGATGATGTGCTCTTTCGATCATTTCTGTTCCCAGCGTAGTCGATGTCGCACACCACCTCGAGCAAGCGCTTCTCTTTGTCCTCTGCCTCCTCCGCTTTTCTGACACCCATCACTGTCTGTCCCTTGGCT